ACATACATACATACATACATACATACATACATACATACATACATACATACATACATACATACATACATACATACATACATACATACATACATACATACATACATACATACATACATACATACATACATACATACATACATACATACATACATACATACATACATACATACATACATACATACATACATACATACATACATGTATGCATGCATTATGATGGCATGGAAGACGATCCAGTTGTTGAAATATGCGTATATACACACACATGAGCACTCACGCGTACGTGCAATGACATACAAACTGCCGTGTGTGTAAGCAGGCAGACACGCACACAGGAAGACACGCAGGTAGTCAAGCAGATAGACACATGCACACACGTACGCACACACGCTTACATTTTTCACATCGTCTTTTATTGCAGAGATTATCATATACCATTTGCAACATCTATGGGAAATGTCTTCCTTCCTGTAAAAGAGAGGAATAATTGTATCATCATCCCCACTTTATGCTGTCGGTACCAAACGTGGACAATATGTCTATCTCAGAAACGGAAAATAACTATCTGTGAATACACTGTTTCCTAAAGATCAGTGTCAACACAAGAAGGAATTGAGTGTATTGTGGCAACTTCTGACCTCCAGAGCTTAAGCCTTCGAAGGGAAGACAAGGTGCTTACCCAAACAGAAAAATGTTAATTCATGAGCAACAACACCATGCACAGAATAGCAAATAACCTAGCTAAAAACCGACTGAAAAGACAAAGCTTTCATCATCTCTCAAAAATGTACTACACAGTGACATCCTTTCTGAAGATCCTTCAACGCGGAAAATAATCTAGGCATACAGCATAGACACACAGCCTAACTATACAGTCACAACAACAATTCCAGGCACAGACAGAAAGGCAAAAGAATGTGACCTAGTATTGCATGCAAAGACCCTTGAACATGTGTATAACTCTTATCCAAAACCAGAATGGACACGCGTATACACCGATCAATCATTCGAGGGTGCAGAAAAACAGAGGAGCTGGATCGGTCATCATGATGCAAGATGGGATCACAGTAGAAAAGTCATGCGCCTCTGGAAAACTCTCAACAAACTTCAGAGCAGAGCAGCAAGCAATTATTGATTCAGCCAAAGTGCTTCATGAAAGGAAAATTAAAAACAGCAAAATTGCCAGTCAGTCCTCCAGGCGACTCAGAGGGATCCATGAGATAACATGGAAATAGAACTGACCCGCCGGCTAAACAGACTCGCAGAAAACAATCAGATAATTCTCCAGTGGATCCCAGCTCACTGCAGCATACCAGGAAATGAATTAGCAGACAGACTTGCTAAAAATGAAACAAATGAAAAACAACACCCCCATTCATTGTCGTAACCACAAATCAGAAAACTTTTCAAGGTAAAATACAAGGAATCGTGGAGATAATAAACTGCCAGTCAACATCCATAGAACCCCATCAGCAAACTCAACAGAAAGCAGCATACAACGGTTTTCCGTCTACGAACACTGAAGGTCCTTCTACCACATGTATATAAAAAAAAAGATTGTACAGTCCCCACAGTGTGCCTGTCAAACAAGACCACAAATATCTGAGCACATTCTTCAGACCTGCCCACTCTATCTACAACTTCGAAAAGACACCTGGCCTCAAGAGCAAAGTGTGCAAAGCAAGCTATGGAGAACTATCAAGGACCTGCTACTGACATGCGAGTTCACAGAGGCAACCCACCTGATGGTCTGATCTGAGCATACGAAACTGAACGCAGAGAAGAAGTAGAGAGAGGATGTATTGTGTATTTCAAATCCCCTGCCGCCCCTACACAGGACGCAGTTTTTTTTTTTTTTTTAAAGCCCTATCCTGGCTGTTGTCGGGGACGCTAATATAACTAACGGTTGAACGGGACTTGTACCCGAGTGATCCTCATCCGAATGGTAGCACTTTGTATCACTGAGTGTTTATCCATTGTTGTGCGGTCTTGGTGCGATTGAACGTCAGTCAGACGAGAAGGAATAAGGTCACAAATGACAGGTTTAGAGAATCCGTGTGTGAAAAAAATCTAGAGATGGAAAAGGAAGTGATGTGTCCTTTCAGTGAGAATGCAGTCAAACAAAATTGTATATAAAGTCTTCTACAACCTAAATTATTGGCAGAAGCCGAGGAAAAGACGAAGGAACAGATGGAGAAACGGTTTTTGCTCGATCACTCAAGCTACTCGAGAAGCAAGAGATGCAGAGGATATCCTTAGCTAAAGTGCTGAACGCATAAAAAATATCACAACTAGTGCAGCAGTACACTGAGGTAATAATCACCCTGGGTAGGCTTTTCAGGCAAGGAGCCAAGTAGTTAGTTAGTTAGTTAGTTAGTCTTTCCTCTTGTGTCGAGTGCGGCACATAGGGCAGAGGTCATGACTCTCCATGCATGGCGGTTCGTTGCAATCTGTTGTAGGTCTTGGATGTTTGAGTGGCCCATGAGGGAGCCTTCCCTGATGATAGTTCTACGTAGAGTTTCCCTTGGTCTTCCACAAGATCTTTTCCCCTGTGGTGGCCAAGTAGTCGCTGATGCTAAAATAAGGTCCCTCATCTACGAGTACACTAAGGTTTTGAGGTTTTGAACAACGGATCAACATCATGCCACACGGGTAGTAACCCATAAGTGCTCCGTTCTTCTTCTAACTCAAGTCTCAGTCCGAAGAAGCTCAGCACAGTGCACAGGCTCTGCAGCACCGGCGAGTACACCCAACGAGATGACGCCATTTTCTAAAGAGATGACTCAGTGATTCTTGGGGTGCGGACAGAGTGGTCATACACAACACAAGTAAATGAATAAAAAGTACAAGAAAGTCAGGCATTCAGTTCAACTACTTCTAGGATGACGATGAAATTGTCACATGGGTCCTTACATGGCTGTTGGAGCAAAAAGCTACTCATGCATTTATAGTGACAGACTCAGCGAGCATGCTTAAGACGATCCAAACAAGCAAACTCCTACTAGACTCAGTTGACAGTATGCAGAGGTCCCTGTCTGAACACATTGGGAGACACCGTGGTGAAGGGACATGAGAGAGCAGACAAGCTGACCATGTCTGTAGCGGCTGACACCTTCAGGCGTTTTGGGTATTTATGGATAGACCTATATTTTATAAACCAAACGACACTTGGTGTGTGATGTGGTCAGCATCACGCTGACAGCCTTTACTTCCCAGGATTGTACCTGGTTCCCACTCAAGGCTGGGTCGAATGTGCTGCGTTCTACAGACTTTGTGACAAAGCAGTCAAAGATAATAAACCGCCTGCTGAGAGTTGGCAGGGCAAAGAAAAGTTAAGATCCCTTTTCTTGCCTTAGACGCACCGGGCATATGGGAATAGCACCCATATTTTTAGAGACTAATAGGCACTAGGTGGGTAATGTGGCCGTCAATTGTGGTACGGACTGGCAACGCCTAAGCCACGGACGCCTTGGCGGGGCGAAGAAAGGATATATGAAATCAACTTTTATTAGGTACGATAAGCATGGAGACTCAGAGATGGCTGCTGCAGCCGAGGACAAGGCACAAATGGGTTGGACCGATCCTCTAGGATTTATATACGGACAACGAAAAACTAGTAATAAGAGAAGTTTATGACCAGTACAGAAAACCAGTACACTGTACTCAAACCCATGAACATTGTGGCAGAAGAAGAGAGCCTATAGAAAATGGTCAACATTGCCATTTAGCCATTGTGTGTCATATGTTACTGAAAACACAAAGAGAAAAAAAATGAAAACGATATCATTTTCAACGGCGTCTAGTTTAAAATGTCTCCAAGTATTCTTGGGCATAAGAGACTCCTTTTCGCAGAAGCGACAGGTTCGACTCCTAGTGTGAAACTATAGCTTTCCATTTTGATGATGTCCATAGTGTCTTCTTGTAACTACTTCTTTCATATGTACCTAGAATATCAATCAGTACACTGCAAATTGTTTTTCATACATTGTCATTTGGAGACGTTGTGGTGTAGCGGCTAGATACTGCATATCCAATGTCTTGAGATTAAAACCCGCATAGTGCCGGATTTAGCCTTAAAAAGGATCAGGTAAAATCCTGGGAAGTAAAGGCAACCAGCATGATGTTGATCACATCACAGACCGACATAGACCTTGGTCTATAAAACATTAGTCTTGACCCTTATGCCCAATTTGCCACTGTTGTGTTGAAGTTTCTTTCTTTTATTTATTTATTTATGTTTTCCCGTGGCCTAATGGGTCTCTCTTCCCCCCCCCCCCCTCCCTTCCACTGTCAAGAATGACTGAAGTGTTCATAGCATATAAAAGGACAACAGAGTTTTCTTTAATTTATTTTCACTACTAGTGGTTTTAGAATAAAAAGTCGCAAGCCCATATGAAGACTGTGGTGGACTCGTGCCCTTCATTGATCTATCCAACTCTGTCCACTCCTGAATGTCACCTAGGATCTTCTAATCTTTCCAAAATAATTCTACTTATTATTTTTCCAGGAACTGACAGCAACATAATTCCTCTATAGTTTTTCACACTCCGGTAGATACCTTTTTTGGGCAGTTTTACAAGATATCCTTCTCTCCAGTCTGCTGGTATTTCTTCAGTCTCCCAGACTTTACTGAATAATCTATGTAGCAATTCTGTTGATGTATTTATGTTGGCCCTGATGGCTTCAGCTGGGATACCATTTGGGCCTGTCGCCTGTCCTTCATAGAGAAGATTGATAGCTTTTCTAATTTCCTCTTTGGATGGTATCTTACAGTTGATATCTAGTTCCATTTCTAAAGGCTGTTTCTGGGGGAACCTCTGGGCCTGGTCTATTTAGAAGCATTTCAAAATATTCAACCCATCTGTCTATTTAATCTTTAGTGTCAGTAAGTACCTTTCCTTGACTATTTTTGATTGATCCAGTTGGCTGACTATATTTACCTACTAATTTTCTTGTGTTACTGTAAAGTTCTCTGAGGTTTCCTTTTGCTGCTGCTGTCTCCGCTTCTTGTGCTAGATCATTTAGATATTTCACTTTTTCTGCCCTTATATGCCTCCTTCCTTGTTGGCTTCTGTGTATTTCTCCTGTGCTCTAGCTTTAGCAGCTCTCGTTTTGCTATCGTTTAATTCTGCCTTTTTACTTTTCCTATCTTTAATCAGTTTAATGGTTTCTGGTGTTATCCATGCTTTGTGTTTCCTTTCTTTCTTGCCAAGAACTTCTACGCAAGATTCATTCCAGATTCCTTTGATCTGATCCCACTGACATCTTCAGCTAACTGCTGCAAAACCTGGTACTTTTTAGAGACCGTAACTGAGAACTGTTCCTTAATTTCTTTATCTCTGAGAAAGCCTACATTATATTGGTTTCTATGATTATAAGATGTTATATATCTTTTTAGTTTCAACTTGATTTTACTTACCACCAGGAAATGGTCAGTAAATACATCGGCACCTCTGAAAGCCCTAACATCGTAAAGGGATGATCTAAACTTTTTGTAAATTCATATGTGGTACACAAAAACAACACAGTGGTAACGTACGTAAAATACACACCTGATGACTGAAAAATCTGCAGCAACATGATAAATATGACCTGCATCAAAATCGTCCTTTGACCTGTTGGTAGGGGGAGAGACTCCTCTGTACTTACATCTGAGGACAGCGTAGAGAACAAATAGCATTAGTCTCACAACTAAAGATACACATCAAGAGAAAATTGTATGTATATATTTCGTCTTTTTGTTTGTGTTTTCAAGTTCACCTTTGTGATACGCGGGATCTGTCCCAGGCACGCCTGCCAAATGTCTAGGGGATTTGTTTAGGCTTCGCCATATAAACACAAAGTTATCTAATCGACAACGTGCCACAAACACTAGAACGACAATTTCAACACCGATACAATAGAAGTCATCTCTGGAACAGTGCATGGGTCTCTTTATTATTAACGAGACACGTTACGACGGAAATTTGTTCCACCAACCTATTTGTTACGAAAGACATTACAACGAATGTTATGAGTTATGATGACATACTGACAAGTCTTCTACTGCCGTTCCAAATATTTACCTCGGCATAATTTCCAGACATGAACGAACACCACAGCGAACTATGTCCCAGTTGCCTGCTACGGGCAGCTGACACCCGACCGCGCAGATACACCTATGTTATGTACAGTGACTACCCCCTGATGGCTGTCCCTATACGGTGAAAAAAAAAAAAAGAAAGCGAGACCGCAGTTTGCTACCTAATCACTTACTGAAGCATCGCTGACTATTATTCTGTCAGTCAGCCTCCGATACTTTTCCCCATGACGCTCTACGTTAGTTAACACACCCAAGGTTCCCGGTATCTTGCGTGGACTTAACAGATACCCCTGTCAACCACGCGTCCATAGCCGCAACAGTACCGATCCCACCAACACATGGGTCGCCCAACCGTCCATTCTGGAAATTAGACAGACATAATTCCGAAGTCGGCTATCTTCCGAATAACGGGCACAGAAGATGGCGGTCAATGGCGGCCAAAAACAGGACCTCAGTCACGTGTCAATTGCGCATTTTCGGCGACTTAATTTGCGGTTTTCCGGCGACTATCGCCACCGCCAAGAGACCCCCACGTCGCTAACGCGGCATTGATTGGGACTACACTAGATTGCTAGGACTCACGAGCACAGCTGCAGAAGATGCGGAAGCTGCTACTCGTGAGTCCTAGCTATCTAGTTTAGCCCTAATCCACGCCGCGTGAGCGGTGTTAGGGACTCTAGCGGTGGCGGTAGTCGTCGGAAAACCGCAAATTAAGTAGACAGAAGTGCGCAATTGACACGTGACTGAGGCTCTGTTAGGATGTTTTTGCGGCCGCCATCTTTTGTGCCCGTTATTCGGAGGATAGCCCCGAAGTCTATCTCACGATCCACCAAACCCATTAGACAATTCACAGGAGCCCCAACAGAATAAAAAAAAAATCTTGTTAAAACACCCTGGACTGAAACACAACATGCCCAAACACGCCCACATACTAAGACTTCCCTAGAGATATTGACTGATTCTACTCAAGGACCTTTCCCATACACAGTCCGTTCCACATAGATCCCACTTTCTCAATAAACACTCGGGGTTTCCTCATGCTGTCGACCCTACGGATTCCACAGTAAACATGATGACGCCAAGCTCGTCATAAACTTGGAGCCACACATGTTTTCCCCAGTGGCTTAGGGTCCGCTGCCTTCGAGTGACCCCCTAGAATATTTAGATTCTCAGCCTGTCAACAAACAGCCCTAGCTTCATTAACTTCTAACACACTTGAATAGCCTTGCGTTGGTTTCGACAGTGGTATCAAGAAAGCCGGGTTCTTAATTTATAACGTACCCCAAACACGAAATTCCCGTGGGAAATCCACAGCTGACCTGACAGTCCATTATTTCAAGGGGTGCAAGTGTGTTGTTATGTGGTGCTGTTTTTGAGTGTTTATCTAGTGTCTTCTAACCCTAATCCTAACCCTAACCCTAAACTTGGCTGTAGATAAATCGCGAGAAACTACAACCTGACAACCCTAGAATTTATTGGGAATGTCTCCCGTGACGTAGTCATGACGTCAGGTGTAAGTTATAAATTAAGTACCGAAAGCCGACCGTCCAGGAAGCAATGGCAAACTACTAGACGTAAATTTGCCTAGAAAAACCACACAACAGCCAGGGGCTGTTGGGGTTGGTTCTGCGACGTCCTGTTAAGGACAGGCAACTAGCCCTTTTGAGTCCCCGTGGCGTTTCGACTAGATGCTCGCCGCGGATCGGAAGGTCGTGGGTTCCCTCCCTGGCGAAGCCGGACTTTTTTCAAAAATGACTTTGGCTCCCAGGTCGACCCAGCCTTGAGTGGGTAACGGGTGCAGTCCCGGGAAGTAGATGCGGCCGGCGTGGTGCTGACCATATAACCCATCTTGTGCCGTTTGGTCTATAAAAATATAGGTCTAGCCCTATATGCCCAGTACACCTAAAGGTCAGGAAAAGGGTCCTTTACTTTTTTTCAAACTCTTGAATAGCAAAGTGAGTTTAGCACACGACAGTTACTCCTTCTTTTTACAGCAAACAACACACAAAAAGCGCTTGCTTGCTCCAGACAAACACATCGTTGATTACTGTCTGCAGCACTGACACAAGGTATCTTGTAAATTGTCAAGTATGATGAATGATAAATGTACAACCCCAAAACACTCAGTCAACATGATCCGCTAATTAAACTTCAAATCCGACTAAGACACATTGACAAAAATACAATGCAAACAAATGTCAACAATAGAGTTCAGTCATTGTTCATGAGTTTATCAACTTATGACCTCCATAATTAGGTCAGAAAATGGGTGAAATTTTCCCCTATGCAAACCAATAACACGGTCTAGTCTGTACACACTCTCTAGTCTGTGCGCCTACACTCTCTAATTTGTGCGCCTACACGCTTTGGTTTGTGCGCCTGCACTCTCTAGTATGTGCGCCTACACTCTCTAGTCTGTGTGCCTACACTCTCTAGTCTGTGCGCCTACACTCTCTAGTTTTTGCGCCTACACTCTCTAGTCTGTGCGCCTACACTCTCTAGTCTGTGCGCCTACACTCTCTAGTCTGTGCGCCTACACTCTCTAGTATGTGCGCCTACACTCTCTAGTATGTGCGCCTACACTCTCTAGTATGTGCGCCTACACTCTCTAGTATGTGCGCCTACACTCTCTAGTCTGTGCGCCTACACTCTCTAGTCTGTGCGCCTACACTCTCTAATTTGTACGCCTACACTCTATAGTATGTGCGCCTACACTCTCTGGTTTGTGTGTCTACATTCTCTAGTTTGTGTGCCTAACCTCTTTAGTATGTGTGCCTACACTCTCTAGTTTGTGCGCCAGCACTCTCTAGTATGTGCTCTTGCACTCTCTAGTATTTGCGCCTACACTCTCTAGTATTTGCGCCTACACTCTCTAGTATGTGCGCCTACACTCTCTAGTCTGTGCGCCTACATTCTCTAGTTTGTACGCCTACACTCTCTAGTACGTGTGCCTACACTTTCAAGTCTGTGCCTGTAAACTAGACGATTTCACTGTCCTTAAGGCTCCATTTTCATGAAATTTTGATACCACTATAAATCCTTTATGGAGTACGCCGAATACCCCGGGAATCCGACTCCAAAAAGTCCCTAAGACTCCTGGTGACCGACCTCTTAAAGCTACTCCACCGACTGCCTCCTCATCCTACTCAATAACAGTTTAATCAGTACACTTGGACGGACATATAATTCTGATGACGAATCCACAGGCGAGTCACAGGTTCGACGGCTTGATAGTAGTAATAGAGGTGGTAAAGGGGAAGTACACAGTCTACGCACAGTCTACGCACACAGGCACCCACCCGGTCAGGGGTCGTGAGTGACTAACCCGCTGCAACATCTCTCGATGTCAGAGTTTTGAATACGCACACGACACATTGTTTATCTAGTAAAGATTGTGTCTCCCAAATTTACACTATACCTGATAAGCTATAGAGTTTGTTATAACGTGGTCGAGGTTATGGGTGTCGCGGTCTCTTGTTATCTTGCTTTAACGTTTTTATTCCGAGAAAGTGACGGCCTGTGTCATAGGTTTCGCCACTCTCTAGGGGTGTTGTGTGTTAGACCCAGTATCTAAATGTTTTTTTAGTGTTAACAGCTCTGACATGGTGATATATACAACACACGATATCAGCGCCAGAGCGGAATAGGTGAAAGTCGGATCGCTCGAGGCCGACTTATCAGCGGTGAGGTAGGCTGAGGTAGTACCAGTCAGAAGCGAGCTAGTGTGTACCGTGTGTGAATGGGGAGACCAAAGTATTGATTACCGCTATAGAGCTCACTCATTATGGATTACATGCAGTCTTAATAAGTTAGTGGCGTATTCTTAACCCCAACAGGACATTACACCAAGCAATAAACACCCGAATTAGGATCACCCGGGGACAGGTGCCAAAAACCGCGTTTAATCCATAGGTTGGGTAATCTTAGGGCCCCTGGCAACAGCCAGGGCAAGGCTTTAAAACAGCAACAACAAAACTGCGTCCCATATTAGGACGTACGACTATTGCTACTGACCATGGTATTCTGAAAGTTTGTATTTAGCACCAGCTCAAAACTACCTATTTATTGGCAGACAACCTTCATTGTGGAAACACAGTACGGCTATACTCCAAATAACGGTCCCAAATTATCTAGGCTTAAAAAAAAATACCCTTACAGGGCCTCAGTGTTCGTGACTGTGCTACCAGGAAACTTCGCTAATTATTCATTAAATAACGCGACGTCAAGTCCGCGTAAGTTCAATCCATTACGCTCCAATCGATAGTGTAGTGCTTCCACTGTTGTGACAGATTCTATTGGCAAAGTCGTATTTGCAATACTCCTTGCCCTAACTCTGACCCTAAACCTAGGACCCAGGGGAAAAGTTAAACCTAGGACCCAGGGGAGAAGTTAAACCTAGGACCCAGGGGAGAAGTTAAACCTAGGACCCAGTGAAGAAGTTAAACCTAGGACCTAGGGGAGAAGTTAAACCTAGGACCCAGGGGAGAAGTTAAACCTAGCACTTAGTGTCGTTGCCGTTGACACCCTCGATGATCTGGGACCGTAATTGTGGAGGAGTGTTTCCCGCGG